CAAAAAAAACTGATCATGATTGATATGAACAATTCACAAGAATTACATCCTTAGTACGGAAAAACAATGTTATCTTTGTGATCATATTCTAAAATAGAAAATATTTGTTGCATTGACCTATTCACATTATTATGTCAAAGAATAAGTCATTTAAACAGGTCAATGCATCAATGCTTGCCTCAAAAAAGTTTAAATATGTCATGAACGCAATACAGATCATAAATGAAATATAAATGGATAGTATTAACCTTATTGAGCCAATAAATTTAATTTGAACGTCTTTTGCTATTACTTTACTATTCCTAGTTGTCGGTAATTATCAGCATTGTTGAAAAAACTGAACAGCTCAATATGAATATGTCTTACCTTCATTATTATAGCCATGCTCAGAGTGGTTTTTGAGATTAAAATAAAAAATAACTAGTCTATTTCATCTAATTAAACATCGAATAGGAAATATATTCAAGACTAAATCAATTCTAGCATAGTAGCAGAGCATGCCAAACTCATTAATACTAATATAGAATCATATATAAACTCCGATTAATAAAATTTGCATGTGGTGACAAATGAAAAAGCATAATTGTATTCATGCCATGTCCGTTTAAATTAGTACGGATGGTTTTTGATCAAACGAATGACGCACTTTTCAGACTTATTAACCCTTTCATAATAGTAGTTATCCGGTACCGATATATATATATATATACTAGGATAATCTCACGAGATAATCTTCCATGATACTTTCTTCCGATGTCCATGATTCTTGCTTATAGATACTAATTATTATGCTTATAGAATACTTAGAAAGATTTTGAAGTTTTTTTTTCAGATTTAGTGAAGTTAATAAGGTTTTAATATGTTTATATGCCAGAGACTTCTGCAGGAAGGATCTTAGGTTTTCAAAAACACAATTATTCCAAGAACTTAGGATACTCTACAAAAGTCTCTGACAAATAAACATTAAAAAAAATCAATAGCTCCATCAAACTCAAATCGTTCAAAATTTTTCAGCAGAATACTATGCAGTATCTTTGAATTGGAAATAGGACATATAGATAGGTTTTTCTCATTCGTGAGACATCGTGTTTTTAAACATGGAGAAAGAAATCATTATCGATGTACGATAATTGATTAAATCGTATTCTGTAAATTTCTTAGAATAGAATTACACTGATCTTCTTGAATGTATTTTTTTTTCAAATTTTTAAGAAAATAATACCTATAATTTTATTCATTTCTTTTTCTTTTTCATCTAATTGTTGTTGAATAATACTTTTTCTATTTGTAATATTTGTTTTATGTTCGATTACAATTGGAATTGGTGTTTCTAATAAAGGAAGATCACATTGAATTTCTTGATCCATAAAAATCGGAGATGAAAATAAGTGATTTTCTTTCGGTAGAATTACAATTTTTGATGAACAACATGATTGATTAATAGATGTTGGCACAATATAAAGTGATGATGAATATAAATTTATATATGGTTCTGTTTGAATATATTGGTTTTCAACTGTTACTATTGACGATTGTGATGCACAATCATTTAAATAAATGTGTCGTGTTTGAGTATATTCATTCAGTTGATTAATATTATTACTGTTTGTTTGACATTCTTGATCAATAAAAATTTTTTTATCTAATTCTATATTATGATTTTCAATTGAAATTTCAACTTCATTTGATATTGGTAATTCTTCACTAAATACAATTGGAAGAATAGCTGTATCAGGTACATCTATATCAAGATCATATTGAGTTGATACATCATTGTGAAAAATAAAATCAGTTTGAATATATTGATCATCATATATTGTAGACTAAACAGAGAAAAATAAATAATTTTTCAAGGGCAATCTCTACCATTTTCAGAGCGGGTAGATCTTGGTGACTCTAGCAGAAATTCTTATAGGCTCGAAATTCACGGAAGTTGTCTTCTATAAGATACTGACATCAGAATGACCATAATTTTCGTTCGGGTTTCTCAAAAATGCTAAAGCTAACATTTTTTTACAAGTACTAGACACTATTTGGGGTCGGTATTTGTTATGTTTTGAATAAAAAAGTGAAAATATCGAACGTACCCCTAAAAAAGTATGTGATAAGCTATTTTGTAAGAGCAACAAAAAATCAGTAGAGCAATATCTGTTTTGAAACAAAAGAAAATTACCCATCGTAAACAATGTCTAGTGTATGTCAAAAAAAGTTTCAGCTTAATCGGATCTACTACGTGGGAGAAACAAGGGCGTTTCTGCACTTTTTTTTTCATGAAAAAATTGGTTTGAGAAAAACGTGGTTCTCTATTTCTATTACGTAAATTCGACTTTTTAAAATTTAAAGACAATTTTTGAGTTCTGAAATGCACTCAGTAGATAGATACTACTTGAAACTATAGAATCGCCACAAAAAACTAAAAATTTCGAGCCACGAAAAGAGGAGAGAGTGGGGCACCCTTAAATGCTCTTTTTTTCGTACATTATTTAATGATGATTGTATAGCGATGTTTTGTGTTAAGATAGGTATTGTTTCAATTTGTTGATCGATATATTCGGGTGTTATTTGACATGAATAATCATTAGTAGAAACACAATCAGTTTGTATTATTTGTGTATGATAATCTGTTATAATTGTTTCAGTAGTTTGATCATTTGAAATAGGTATAAATTGACAAGAAAAATCTTTTTGTTCATTTAAAATAGTTTGAATTGAACAATCATTTAAATTAGGATTTATTTGACAAGCGATTGTTTCTGTAGATATAATATCTGTTTGTGTTGATTGATATTCAATAGTAAATTGTGTTGTTTCAATTTCTTTATCGTTATATAATGGAGTTATTTGACAACAGAAATCTTTTTTTTCAATTACTAGAAGAGATTCTGATTGTGTATAAGCATCAACAAATTGTTTTCCTTGTTGTTGAAAACCAAGACTAGTTGAAAGGACAAGTGAAGAATCATCATCAAAATGTGCAAGAGGTACTGCTGGTTTCATTATTCGTGTAGGTCCAAGTGGTGTTGAAACATATTGACGATTCGATAATGATGAACGTCGACTAGGTAAACGAAATTGTAATGATGTACTACCACCAGCAATAGCTCCTGCACCAAGAGTTGATTGAAGAAGATCAGGTGCAAGATATGGAGTAACTTTAGTGAAATCATCAAATGCATAGGTATTACTTGATTCACTAGAAATATTTAAATAGCAAAATAAGATATTCAAATTTAAATATTAATTAGAAAATTATCGTAGAAGTACTCTAGAAACATACAAGTAGATTGCAGAACTTCTTTACTAATTCGACATATTCTCATTTTGAAGATTGCAACGGTCTGTCAGTATTATTATCTGGAATGATGTCGCTTTCAGTGACGATGTCAGAAAGCCTTAGATAGAGGCGATAGTTTTTAATTAGCTTCTTTTTTTTCTTGCGTTGGTGGATAGAACCTCGAACGTTTGATTGAAAAAAAATCTTTTTATAATGATCATTGAAATATTATTTTTTGTTATAATATTTATCTTTCGCTGAAAATGAACAACCATCAAAGTCTTTTCTGACTAGAGATGTCTGACAGCAAGTTTTTGTTGGTATGGGTCTAAGGAAAATTATTTCGAATTTTATTCGCATCACATCTCGAAGGAATCATTAAATGATCGTTCTTTGATTTATTGTCTGTGTATTGATATGACTATTAAGATAATTCACTTCAAACTATTGCATACCTTACCTATAATCTTTACCATCGATTGGAATGACTTTTTTCTCGTAGTTTCACAAGTCTCTATTGTAGATGCATCACTAATATCATGTAAGTAATCTCTTGTCTATAATTATTGTTTTCTACAGATGTTTTTGTCTTATAAAACTATAGTAAATTTTTACGGGTTGTAATATTAGTTCTTAGACATTCAATTTTAGTACGATATCAGTCATATACAAACGAAGACAATGATTCTAATTGAGATGAAACCTATGAGTTTTATGAAGTGATCTGCTCGATCATCCTAAGTTGTTTTTTCGCTCGTTACTTATTTCGTAGAACTCTATGATGAAGATTAATCAATAACAAACAAAAAAAAACTGTCTGGTTTACAGTACAACAAATATTGGCAGCTTTAATTCATGATAAAATCTACTATCTTACCTGAACGGACTCATTTCACAAGAATTTCTCTAAATATAAATCAATATAAAATTATTACTTATAAAAATTCGATTAAACATACTTCTTTAAGCATAGATAATGTTTTTTCGTAGATATGACATTGACGTACCATATCTCTATTAAAAAGAAAATTAATTTAGATAAACAAAAATTATCTAAAACATAGCTTACTGATATTTAGCATCAATTTTTTTAAATTCAGTTACTTCATGTATAAACATGATTTCAACTGAATGAAATAAACGTTGTAAATAAGGTTTAAATTTTCCATAACCCATTTTATCCACAATGGATACATAACCATCTTTTAATCGCTAAACAAAAAGAAAGGAAAAAATAGAATTTTCACTTTTCATCTTTATTTATTCAATAAATTACTGTAAGATTAAATAAATTATCATCATTAGTTTCATCTTCCATACCAGTAGATGTATTTTTTTTCTTTACTTCAGCATTCATAGCTATTTTTTGCTAATTGAATTTGTTTTTTTTCATTAATGAACATGTCGATCGATAGATTGAATGGCCGGGTGTTCTTTGTTCGCGGATTAACCATCAAAAATATTATTCATTTTTATTGATTAATATTTAAATTTTAAAATAATAACGTAAAAAAGAAAAATAATTTGTTAAAAATACAATAAAAAGTTTATAAAATTATAGATGACGCTATTAGACATATTTGAGAAGAAAGAAAAAAGGTGTATAGTGGTCTAATGAATCATTAATATGCATTTTTTTTTATCTATACAATAGAAAGAAAATATAACTTAGGTTTTAGATTGTCATGAGCCCAGGCTGAAAATCAAATTTGTTTTTCGATCTACTATGGCAAGATTAAGTGAAGTATTTCATTTTAAAATTCTCATCATTGGTGAATCAAGTGTTGGAAAAGTTTGTTTATCGTATGAAATTTTGTTTTTGTTTGTATTTATTTAACTTTTTAGAGTAGTTTAATGACTCGTTTTGTTGATGACACATTTCAACCAACATTTTTTCCAACAATTGGAGTTGATTTTAAAGTTCGAACATTAGTAATTGATGATCATCAATGCAAAGTTCAGATTTGGTTAGTTTAAATTTTTCTTGTTTTTTTTTTGTTTCAAAGAAAACCTTGACAATATTTAGTTTTAAAAGAACACAAACAGACGCATTCTATGAATATTTACATTGATCAATAATACAAAGGATTAGTGCTGTATTAAAAAATCATTGTAATTGTTTTATAGTGAATAACGATTAAAAAGAAAACGTTGCATACATTTCGTTCATGATGTATATTATATTGAAAATAAGTTTGTCTTTGAATTAAAATTTTGTTTTTAAAAACTTCGCTTTCATTTACCAAATTCGAAATTTTAGTTGTTATAAATAAGATTTATATACATATAATTGTTAGGCATTTATTGGTCAATTAAAAAAAGTTATTGAAATATTTTTATGATTATTGCTCTTATATATATATAGTAGTTTTAAACCGTATATTGTTTATATAGAATAGTTCATGAAGAAAAAATTAAGCAAACAATCAATTATTTTATGATTATTCGTTTGAATGATTTTGCAACGAAGCATTTAGATTTAAAATATCAAATTATTTATATGTTTCATCGTGTATGTGTCTCGATTTCAGCCTTAAAAAATGTTTCGATAACACGATAGTCTAGATATATCTGTATTCAGCTATCGGTAAGTTTTACTAATACATTTTAACTGATTTGATCGATAATGTTTATTTCGATGTAAAATATTGATAACTAGATATTTGAAATCGATAAAATGCTTATCGGATTGCATAATAACCAGTGTTTTGTCTATAGTGAAGGATGAAAGGGCAGTGCTCCTTCTAACATCGAATTGACACTCCTGAAGAAAAAATCTAGATAAAACACTGATAATATGACTTACCTTGCTAAAATTAAATTTCTGAAAACTTATATAGATTTTTAATATAAAATTGTCTAAAGAATTAAAGTGAGTAGATATTCATTGAGTATTCAGTTTGAAATTTAATAATTATTTACGTCAAAGTTTTGTTCATATCTTTATCATCATATTGAATCATAATTACATTTCTATTATTATAATAATTTATTTATTAGGGATACCGCTGGTCAAGAACGATTTCGTGTAATAACAACATCTGTAAGTCTTTTCTACAATTGTATGTTCATTGATTTTCTTTTTTGATTTTTTAGTATTATCGTGATGCAGCTGGTGTTTTAATAGTTTATGATGTTACTAATGGTGAATCGTTTTCTCGTATTCGTCGATGGGTAGATGAAATAAATAAATATTGTGATGATAATATAGCTAAAGTACTTGTTGGCAATAAAGATGATAATCCATCATCAGATGGTAATCATATACAAAAAGTTGTATCAACATCTGATGCTCAGCAATATGCACGTCAAATGAAATTAACATTTTTTGAGACATCAGCAAAAGATAATAAAAATGTATATGAAGCTTTTTATGCTATTACACGTTTAGCATTACAACAACGTTTAGAAACTCGTGTAAAAGCACAAGCAATGCAACATAATATGACAAATGGCGTTACAACATCACAAACTGTTCGATTAAAATCATCAAAAAAATCTAAGAAAAAAGATAAATTCCATAGTGGAGCTTGTTGCAAATAAATCTTTTGTTTTTTTTTTCTCTTTTGTTTTGCTTTCGTAAATTAAATTCTTTTCTTTTTTCTTTTGCATTCCATTACAATTTATTATTCTGAACCTGTTATCTCGTACATATCATCTTGATAATATACTTTATTTCTCTTCTCTTCCTTCATTTTCTTTGTCTCACTTTTACAAATTCATAAAAAAATGAAATTTTTAATGAAATTATTTCAGACAAAATATAAGTAATATGTAAAAATGAAAAATAATATAATAAATTATTTGTTTTTTCTTTTCAGATATGGCATCAACAGCAAAAAGTCTTGATCCTGTTCAAACATTTAAAATTCTTATTATTGGAGATTCCGGTGTAGGAAAAAGTTCCTTAATGGTTCGTTTTGTTGATGATATTTTTACGGCTGCTTATATCACGACCATTGGTGTGGATTTTAAAATGAGTACAATTAATGTTGATGGACATCAATGCCGAATACAAATATGGTTTGTTCTTTTGTTATTTTAGAATTAGAAGAAAAACAAAACTAGTTGTTGCTAATAAGAAAAATACTCTTCTCAATGTAATAGGTTTTTAGTATATCAATAATTTCTAATGAAATTTTGCAATGTTAATAGACATTATTCTACTTTTCTAGAACATTTATAATGTTTTCTTAAATGACATAAACCATTGAAAGAATTTATTTGCATAATTTTATAGTTTATTTGTATCAATGTTCAGATTTTAATTATAATTGTAGAATTTCACCGGACTTTAGAATCACATGTTATTGCTAAAATTTAGAAAACAATCTTATTCTTTTGTTATCTATTTAGTATTTTGAAAAATTTAAAATAGTTAAATGATCGTAAACAAACATAATAAAATAGGCAATAAACAGTGAAGAATGATGATTCAATATTAGTTTTCGCTTGTTAGATATACAACCAGTACTCATCATCATTATTTGACAAATATTATTGCACTTTACATTATATATGCTATTTAATTTAATATATATATAAATGAAACACGTCGTTTAACTATTTCAAATAAATTATTTTTTGTTTAATGAATTTATCATCAGTTTTTATTTCTATTGCTTATATAGGGATACAGCTGGTCAAGAACGTTTTCGAGTTATCACTAGTAAACAAAAAAAAAAAGGATTTTTCATTAAAATCAAAAATTTTATTCATCTTTTTTTCAATAGGTACTTATTATCGAGGTGCTGATGGTGTAATTATTGTTTATGATGTATGTATGAAATTCTATTGTTTTATTTCTATAACTAGTCTTCTCATATCTTTAAGGTAACCAATGGTGAAAGTTTTGCTAATTTAAAAGATTGGATTACTGAAATGGAACGTCATTGTGATCAGTCAGTCCCAAAAATTCTTGTTGGTAATAAAGATGATGATGATAATGAAATGGGCAAAGTTGTTTTAACTTCTGATGCACGTGCATATGCTGAACAAAAAAATTTACCATTTTTTGAGACATCAGCAAAAGATAATAAGAACACAGGTCTAGCATTCAATGAAATAACTAGACTTGCACTTAAACGACGTCTCACTCAACCGAATAATGCACAATCAACTACCGGTGGTACACGTATTGGACCAAAACGAACAGTCATTGGTGGTGCACAAAAGAAATGTTGTACAACATGAATGAAATATTATAGATTGATTTATTTCCTTTTTTTTTTTTCTTCATCGTTTGCGATCTATTTCAATGACTTTATATCGAGTGCAATATCAATACAAACGTTTTTTTTTATCACTGCCTTTACACATCCACACACTTATTAATGATTATCTTTTTTTTCTTTCAATCACTCTCTTTTTAGAAAAAAAACCACGACAAAAAACAATAAATTTTGATCTCTCTTTCTTTTTAATTTGTAAATTTTCATGATTTCCACACGTGGTGGAGATCAGATTGATAATTTTTTTTTTCTAAATAGTGTATACATGTGTGAATCTTGTTCATTTGTTTTTTATTCTCTATTGATTATTGACATTCAGCGATTGTATTTGTGTGTACGTATGAAGAATTCTCTTTGTATTTGACTATAATTTTTTAACAGTGAAAGAAAAAAAACAAACATTTTTTTTGAAATTATCTATACAAAAGATAAATCGATTAATTATTCATCATCTTATTGGCAAAGGTTTTTACGACATCAAGTTATACAAATAGTAATGGATGGCCTAGAATACACAGTGGTCTCCGTACTTCCTTCATAGTTCTGTTCAGTTTTGGTCTGACCTTTTTTTTCTAAAGCATAGAGCGTTTAATACTCTTCAAAATTGTATATAACTGAATTTTATAGAAGTTGAAGTAAAACATTTCTATGAGGGATATACAGACATAAAATATCAACATCTTTCGAATGTGAAATATGACTTGTTGTGTTTGCGTTCTCATGCTGCTTTATAGTGACAAAGTAAACTACTTATTTTGTACAGCTCCAAAAGTTTTTTCTTTTTAGAGTAATTCGAATGATAAAAAGAAAATACGTTAGAAAAATAAAATAAACATAATTTGTTGTTGAAATTTTGATTTAAAAAAAAGCGCTCGTTATCTCGTACTTGCCCAATTTGTTCCAAAGAATTCACATTGCTTAGGCAACTATGCTTTTTGCAGAACAAATTTTTTATCGATTTAAAATCTGCTGAGTAATATTTTGACAGTCTATCTTATTTTTACAAGTAATGTTTATTGAGCCTTGATTCACTTGGCTACAAACTGATGCAACGGAGATATTTCATAGGAAAATTTAACCAAAATAGCTAGCTTAAAGTAGCTTATATTTCTCGCTAAAAAGCGCTTACAATCGGGTATTTTAAGCGCTAGAATTGGAAGTATTAGAAGTGGTGCAAAGCGGTTATAGTTACATATTTAAACACTTCTAAGCGCTGCATTTCACAGAGAGGAAATTCGTTGATAAGCCGTTCCTATTGCCGTCATATGTAGAGTACACGGAATATAGCATAACTCCTGAAAGTTTCCGACTTCTGTTCATATTTATTTGAGATAATGGTTTTTTATCGAATTCCACTAAGACAAGTTGCTTTCAAAAAGAAAAATATATTTTTGAATATTTGCCTGCATCTTTGTATACATAAAGCTTACAGTTGGATTATCTTGTATATTAAGCCTTTATCTGCTTTGAATATTGTATTGTCAAGTTATGAGTTTCTCAAAATATTTACGCTTGTCTTAGGCATTTTTCAAACGACCAATATTTTAAAAACTTCATGCCTTAACAATGTGATGTACAGAATTGATGAAATTTAATACATATGAGATAGTTTAATCAAGGTCTTCATGTACATTACGTTTAGGGTTGAAAATCAAAATCATGATTGTTTTTCGAGAACTGCACTCATATCGGAAGAGTTTGATAATAATCCGTTATTTCTACCTAATCTGAGACAGAGAAGAAATTCTTCATGGATTATGTTATTCTGTTGATTCTCTATATATGGGAACAATATGCAGACGAATGTAGCAAGTTGCTATGGAAAATTACTTCGTAAGCAGTATAAGTTTTGTGCACGAATGATTTCTTGTAGAAAGCTAATAGTTCTTAACCATTGGTCATGAGATATTAGCTTTGAAAAAAAATTATTTGGCTAAAAATACATCACTTTAATATTATGATATTTTTGACAAGTAAGTTTTGTTCTTAATATTTCCTTACAAACTAATGTTAATTGACGCCTCTGAAGACATACTTGCGAAGTTTGATGAACGGTAAAAAGTGGAAATTATCTCACATTTGTTTGATAGAATATATCGAATATTCGAACTTACGAGTCAAAAATATTCTAATGTTAAAATTGAATCATCTTCAGCCGATTAATTGATTTCGATTCAACTCTGGAACTGATCTCTGCTTACTAACTACTTGGGAACTATTGAAATTTTATATGCTCTCAACTTTCTTACATATTCTGCTGTCTTTCCAATTTACACATGGTGGATCGTCATATATATGTCATTCTTACGAACCCTAGGTGTTCAATAATCTATCGCTTTTTCCATGTAAACATATTTACTTAGTTTCCCAATCCGAGATAAGGAATACAGGAAAACTATCAAGAGTGTGTGAACTCTTAAAAGTGATTTTGAAGAATTACTATGTAGGATATTTTCTTTCCATAATAAAACGTTTCGACTACGATTTTACAAGCCATATCAGAGTTTATATCAACTAAAACGAAACTAGTTTTTGTAACCTTTTTGGTAATAAACTCAGTCTGATAACTTATTTATAACTAAAGATGTTTTTATTGAAGTGAATAGTTTGTACTAGAATACTGATTTTTATAGAAGAAAAACGATTCCTGAAAGATATTAAGCTAAAACCTGAATTACATAGTCGAAAGTCTATAATTCGAGAAAATATCACGTAACTACTATTCTTTTGAATGATTTGAGACTTCACAACTTTCTCCAATAGAAGTATTCAGCCTTTTGCCTATGATTCTAAACTAGTAAGTGCATTTATCTGATTAGTTTTGTTGACTAAACAAATAAGCCATATACCATAATAAATATAAATTAATTGTAAGCATAACGCACAAAGTTAAACTCAAACATAGCACTACATCACATATGTACAAAAGAAATAATTTTTTTCTTGTCAAATGCGGAGAGAGTTTGACACGGTTGTCTTGAAAGAGAAAAATAACGGTTTCGATAAGAAGAATCTAACGACACATCAAAGAACATAAAGTTACAATAAATATAATCAGACCGCCTAACTAATTGCTCGATGGTTATGCTAATAATATTTCAAACATTGCATACGAACTGATGAAAGAGATGGAAGCATTGAGAAGGAAATTAAGGGAGCTGTTAGTGGTTACTTGAAATAAAAACAAGAACTAACTGACTTTGAACGACCGTCTTATCAAGAATATTATGGATCAGCGCACATTTAAAAAATAATTAAACTTACTATTTAAAAAGCAAGCATACATTTTTAATTTAAAAACGTAAACGGAAG